GGGAGAGAAGGACGGGGGAGAGGCAGTGGCCGCCGAGCGGCCCTGACACAAGGTGTTAGTGGGGCTGGAGGGCCACAATCTCTCATGTGGATTTCTCTGTACAATCACCTGTGATTCACTCTGCAGCCACTGGGTAATGGAGCACAAAGAACCGAGTCCTTTAAACCACTGCTTTTGAGCAAGTTAATTTTCCAAAGGCTCTTTCCAACTCTTACTATATACAGTATGTGACTATTCTAAGTAGTATGGCACAAGAGCCAGACTGTAGCTATTTTAGATTGTTTGATCATATCACATGATCTTCCTCAGCAGATGGAGCTGCCCAGTTTTCAACAAAACAAGTTATTCTCATCCAAAAGTTGAGACAGAGTTCATTCTCGACCATGAGAACTGTAAGGGAAAAAAAAGTCTCTTTCTTGGTGCTAAAACTAAAATTTGTGTTTAAAAATAATATTTGGAATCGCACAAAGCCCATATTGGACAATACTGAACACAATACAAAAATCACAATTTTATATCTAAAATGTGAATAAATCCTATTGCATCCTCAACAAGCTCTGCAACTGGTAGAAAACAGAAAGCAATAGAGTTTGGCAGAATGCCTTTTAAATGTGGTGACTGGGCGGTAGGAGAAAAAACTGCTTCTAATGCAGTGCTGTCAGTTTGGTATGTTGTGTCTTATGAAACCATTTGGGGTGCATGGGAGATGTATGCATGTCTACACATGTTTGGAATCTAGTGACTAAACTGGTCTTGAACCAGTTTTCAATGTGTCATTTGACAGAACATATGCAAGAAAGACAAAGTCTTGCCTTTTAGGAATCACGGTCAAATGCTTTTTGTCTCACTTGTTCCACTGACTCACTTCAAACAGCCAGTCCTCTTCTTCTTCTTCATCTAGATGCATCTTGGTGTGGCGCAGCACTTGTTCCTGGTTGAGTGGCTTGGAGGACAGGTGAAACTCCACTCTCTGCAGGTTGAAGCCCAGCCCTGTGCCGATGGCTTTGATGAAGCTCTCCTTCAGAGCCTTGGTGGAAAGGAAGGAAACCCAATCACTGCATGAAATGCTCAAAGTTTGTTTGTATGTCTGATAAAGCTGATGGGGACAAATCTATATGTGCTTCTGTGTGTGCATGTTGAGAATTTTGGCTTTGTAGCACAAAAACTTAAAACCATAACAGATGGAAATCTATGCACACATGTATAAGTGTGTGTACACAAAAGACAGATTTTGTACGTGCTCATGTGGGGGTGCGAGTGTGTGTCCAGCCAAAACCAACCCTGCTCAGCAGCCAATGAGCGACAATAAGAGTATTACAAGGTTAATTGCTATGGCAACCATCGAGCTCTGCCATTAGTCAGTGTGGTGATGATATCAGAGCTTGACGTCTCTGTGCCACCCTCTTAATCTCACAGTATCTTTACTTAGCACCACCATTGCTGTTGCTGTCCATCTGTGTGTGTGCATGTGTGTAAGAATGGAAAAAATGTGAGACAAAAGGAAAAGAAAGAACTGTAGTGTGTCTGTGAGGAGAAAATGCATAGGAGAGAATGTGAGGAAAAAAACAGAAATGCAGAAAAATGACTTGTACTTTTTGCACACGACCTCTGGATTTCTCTCTTTAAATGCGTGTCTCTCAAAATACACTGGCAATTTTATTTTCTCCCTGTGTTTCCTTTTTACACACACACACACACACACACACACACAAATGCCACCCGTGGAGCCCAGTGGCGATGCAATGTGATGACAGGGTAGGATGGTTGCCGTGGTTACCCAGTGGCGGTAGAAAGCAGCGAGCTGCTGGTGCTCCGAGCCGGCTGATCCGGGGTCGGGGGGGGTGTACACAGATGCAAAAGTTTACTTAAGACTAGTCCAAATACTCAGTTTTTAAATTTAGTGTTACTTCTTTAGAAAACATACCGCAGAGTTCAGTGTGTATAACACAAACACTGAAATGTAAACATTTGCACACATGCAGTCTTGGACGAGACCTTTTGCAAAACAACAGTGACCCCTTGTGGTTGAATTGAGGAAAAACAAACAATATCGTTCTATAGACTGGTGACACATTAAAGGGAAAAGCCTGAATAAATGAATGGTCCCTTCCAGGGCTCACTGAATTATTTGATGAGTATGAAAATGATGTGAATCCTATGTTATGGCCTTCACAGATGTAAACCCAGTTGATTTTGGAGAGACGTGTTAGACAGCCTCTCCAACGCCACCTTCAAAAACACATGAGAGAACATCTTCTGGAAGAATGATATTCATCTTTCCAGTAGAGTCCAAAGACTTGTGGAATTAAAGTGCACTGAAGCTGTTTTGGTGGCCTAACAAGACACTTTATGTTGGGTTTTCGTCTCAATTGTCACCCCACTCACCTGTCACCTTCTGCTTGGCATTTAAGTTGATTATACTAAATGATTTGGCTGTTATGGGTTATCACTAGTGTGAGAAAACCAGCTGACACAGATTTTTGCAGTTTGATCTTTAAGCTTTTGCTGTGATCTAGAGAGAAGCACTGTGATTAGATGCACTGTTCAGTTTGGTCAGTCATGGAATCCATGCAAAGCCCAGGTCAGCTGGGTTTTATTTAACTGTAGTCAATGGGAAAACAGTAACAGAGACAACTGTGGTAACACAAGAGAACAGGTTGAGAGATTTTTGTAACACAATTTGCTGTCACAATATTGCTGTCATGTCTAAAAATTCAACAGTTGTTTTTTTTTTAAATCATTTATAATTAACAGTCAAATACCCCCAAATCTCAGTGTATCTGCAAGTAATGATAGATATTATACACTCACCAGCCACTTTATTAGGTACTCTTGTACAACTGTATGCATGTCAATCCAACACCTCCACTTTAACATCTGTGTTTATGAAGATCAAAATGTTTTAGTTTTTGGTGAAATTGTCAAATGTACAAACACAATTATATGTTTATTATTGAGGTCACAGTTAAAAGGTGGTGTTGTACTAGACTACATTATATTCAGGAGGTGTGTATTTTTTTCCTCCCCAGCTACATACATGAGAGGCTCAGAATATTAGGAACACCTCTGAATATAATGTAGTACAGTATAACACCACTTTTAACTACGACCTCAATAATAAACATAACTGAGTTTGTATATTTGACAATTTCACCAAAAAAAAAAAAAAAAAGGAAATGTTTGGAGCTTCACAAACACCAATGTTAAAGTGGAAGCGTTGCACTGATTCACATACAACTGTACAGGTGTACCTAATAAAGTGGCAGGTGAATGTATATTTACTGTATCTATTAAGCTCAGCAGTTACCTGGCATGGTAGTCTTCATGATGTCCACTCCCACCTGAATCCCCTGTTCTGCAGCGAGCACAGCATAGTCCCCCTGGTGGGAGAGGTTGAAACCCCAGGCCTGACCTGAATCTGAACCAACCTGGGGGCAGACAGCAAGAAGGAAAATACCAGATGTTGAAATAGTTAATACTTTCATTCATGACACAAAACCATAGGTACAAGGGAAATAATACAGCTGAAACGGTTCACTGAGATGTGTGAAGTTCTAAATCAGAATACAACTTCATTGACACAACACGTCTTCAGTTTAAAAGTAATTATATTCATACTGTACAGCAAGTACATAAACCTACCCGAGCAAAGTTTTACTGACATGTCTGATGATTCCCCCCCACCAGAAATGTTATGATAGCCCAATTTTCACCACTCAAAAGAATTATAATACTCTGTCTCTCTGGCTTTAATCAATCATCACTGACCCACAGATTAGTACAAACTATGGCTGCACGATATATCGAAAAAAATATCGTTATCGCGATAATAGTATGTGGTGCGATATGCGTATCGCACAGACGTGCGATAAATTAATAATTTTACATAGTATTTTATGAGTTTGTTGCACATGTTTGGTGTTTATCTGAGTTTGACCAATCAGACGCGACCTTAATCACACCTAGCCATCCACCCCCCTAGATACTGTTCTCCCATTGGCTAGAGCGGACCCATATGCGCACAGTGACTCACAGCAGCAGCGGGAGAAGAGGAAATGAGCGAGGACGAAAACAACGAACAACTTGTGCCCAAAAAGAATAGCACTTTTTAAATATGGGACTATTTCGGCTTCAGGAGAGAAGACGTAGCACAGACACAGGTACTGTGCAAGTCATGTCGGAAAATAGTGGCAATGTCGAGAGGAAACACAACAAATCTACACATTCACATGGAGCGGAACCACAAAAACCTATATGATGTCTTCAAGTCTAAAACTCCCAAAACTACTAACGTGAGGGCAAGTTACAAAAAAAACCGATCCACAGACAACCATTAATGAACGTTTTGCCAGTGTCAGTCCTTACGAAAAAACGTCGAAGCGCCACAAAACTATTACCACAGCTGTTGCACGTTATGTAGCCAAATGCATGATCCCAGTTAGTACCGTGGGCAAAGAGGGCTTTTTGGATCTAATGAAGGAAGTGGACCGGAGATACCAAGTGCCATCGCGCAATTACTTCTCCCAAGTC